GGGGCGGCACCTGGGCCTCTTCCCGGTAAAGCCCCGACAACGGGCAGCGCCTTCCCCGCTTCGCCCTGGTGCCAAGCGGAGCTGCGGCCTATCCCTACCTGCCCCCCATCCCGCCGGGCCTGTTCTTTCCGGGGGTCCTGCGGCGGCCAGGCCCCGGGTCGCCGGCCTGCCCCCTGATCGCCGGCCTGCCCCTGCATCCCCCGGTTCCCAAAGAGGTGGCAGCGGTAGGACGGGGGGAGAGACCGTAGGGGCGGCCCTCGCTGCTTTCCGTCTTCTCGCTCCCTTTGCTGAGAGTAAACCACTCGTCCGTCCGCAAGCGCTGAGGCCGGCGCCCTCCCCCTGCTCCCAAAGCTGTCAGTGGGTGTATTTAATACCTCTAAACACGTTCTGTTAAGTTGTCTTTAATTTCCACCTCTCTCATTTTTCTTTGCAGGCCATGATAAAATCCTACAATGCCGTTTTGAGGGGGGAGACGGGGGATTAAAAAAATGCCCAAGCAAACAGCAGTGACGATTACTTTGGCAACCCTGCTGGGTATTGCAGTGGGGGGCCTGATTTTGTGGAAAGCAACCCAGCGTCGTAAAGGAAAAGCATGCTGTAGTAGTCAGCGAGAGGAAGCAGTTATAAACTCGGGAGATGAGAAAGTGATTAAGGCAGAGGATAAGGAGGTGCTTTCCTTCTTCAGATCTCCCATCTTTTCCTGGGTAGAGAGAACCCTTGGTGCAAACATAGTGATAGTTTCAGAGCAGGAGGAGTGGGACCGTGTTGAACCTTTGCTGAAGAAGGAGCTGGAGAAGTGGCCAGTGCTTGGAATGGATTGTGAATGGGTGAGTGATCAAGAAGCACCTCTCCTTTAGATTACAAAGTGCAAGGGGAGATCATTGAGAGTAGAGTGATTCCTTTGCTTAAATGGATACAACAGGACTGGCTACTGAAGCTCCTCTCTCTCATAACAGCAGTGAAGTAGCTGCTGATTTTGCTAGATCTTACGTTTAAGTGTGCTGACTGTCAAGTTTTTCATTCACTGGTTGTATTTGTTTCCTGAACTCCTGTGACAAATCATACTAAACATAGTGATAGTTGTATGACTAAATATAGTATTATTTGTTTAGCATAATATCTCTTTAAAGGTGATTTAGTGGAAGTAGCTTGGGTTTAGACTATTTTAAATCCAGCTACATACTTAAGAAACAATTTCTTAAGAATAATAAATCCAAAAAGGAGGATAATACTGATATGTAGATATAACTCACCAGGACTACCAGAAAGCAAGTTCTTCTGCTTGTACATTTGCCTGTGTGAACTCTCAAAACAGGCTTTGAGTCATTTATAAAGGCTAGCTTTGCCATTATTTTGGCTAGAAATTTACTTGCCCCACAGCCATTAGTGTGAGCCACAATTAAACAATGTGTTTGCTGCTACATTTATGTAGTGAGTGGCTTTGTACTGGTGTGGATTAAGAAATGTGTCTGATTTCTTTCACCAGCTCAGCTATGAGGGGGAAGGGTGAAAGGGGGAAAGTTTCTCTTGTAGGAGTGTGGCAAAAAGTAGCTTGGGGACAATAATACTGTAAAACAGTATTTGCAGTAAAATTTTAGAAACTCATAACAATACTTCACTGTATAAGCTGATGAGTGTTTCCTGTCTTCAGTGGCCTCTTTTTCAATTTGTTCCAGCTCCAGTATTGCTAATAATACTGTAACCCAGACTCTGATTTTTGTCTTTATTTCAGGTATCTGTGGAGGGAAAAGCAAATCCTGTGTCCCTCCTACAGATGGCTTCTTCCAGTGGCCTCTGCATTCTTGTTCGGTTGCCCAGGCTTGTTGCTGGTGGACAAACTGTCCCAAAGTCCCTGTTGGACATCCTGGCAGATAGTGCTGTGTTGAAAGTTGGGGTAGGATGCTGGGAAGATGCTTGCAAGTTACTTCGTGATTATGGCCTTCCAGTCAAAGGGAATGTGGATCTCCGGTATTTAGCCGTGAGACAGCGGTGAGTGTCTGCAGACAGAGGCAGCTCTGTTTGAGGCGTCATTTGAGTTGGAAATATTTTAAAAGTAATATGCATATGCCGATTGATACCAGGCAGGTAGATCTGGAGTTCTCAGGGTGGTTCTAGAGGATGAGCATTGACAGCTGCAGCCCGAGAACGTGTCATGCTTCTATTCTGTGGTCTTAATGGAAATTAAATCTTCATGAAGATTTCATATACTAATCGTGTCTGTTAGTCTTCCCGTGCAATACCCTTATGGACTTTTCTGAGTATCGTGCTTTTAAGAAGTCCAGGCACAGGGATGTAACGCAGTGAGAGTGATCACCATGTCAATAGATGTTTGAATATGCTACCTGGAAGTATGGGGTAAATATGCCAGGGGCACCTAAGTGCAGCTGTTGAATTACACGATTTCTTGAAAAATTACTAAACAAACCAGCTGTCATTTTCTCTTTTAATAACAATGCCTCCATTGAAAGATTACAGTTATGATGCTATTTTCTCATCCTTCGTTCTTTCTAAAATAAAATGTTTTACTCAGGAATATTCTTCACATAGAGTATATGTATGCCTGGCATGTTGTTAGTGATCTGGGGCATGGGTTTGCTGACCTGATGGTGCCTTTTTAGCGTTGAGGATGGACTTCTTGCTCTAGTGGCGAGGATTCCTCTGAGTCATTCCTGGCTTTCATGCTCTTCATGAATCCCTGGGGCAGGTGGTCCCTTACTCTACGGTAGACCTCTTTAGTTCAGAAGCGGGTAGTTCAGAGCCAAATACTTCAGCCTTAAAAGTTGCCAACTCCCAGCCTTGCCTGTTTTGCATATTGTAGGCACTATGTAATTACTAAACCTAGAATGGGTATTTTAGCAGAGGGGAGGGAGAGGGCCTGTAAAGCTGACAGGCAGCTGTGTGCTCTTTGAGTGAGAGTCATGCATCATGTGCGTTGTGTTCTGGCAGGTTCAGGGTGCATGAGGCCATCTGAATTTGCATGGGTGTATAGTTTCATTTTTAATATGTTTGTTTCACTTTTTTTGTTGAATTGAAGGAAGGATCTACTTCATGACTGCCTTAGCCTTAAGTCTTTAGCTGAAAAAGTCCTGAACTGCCCGCTTGACAAGTCTCCTCATGTGCGTTGCAGCAACTGGGAGGCAGAAGAACTGACGCAAGATCAGGTGTGTCTTCCACTTCGTCTTAGTGTTTTGTGAGTAAAAGCAACCTTCTTTTAGTAGAGAAGAGGCATTACAACAGGGAGATCTGAGCCTTCTTCGAGTTCTGCCTCAAAACCTTAAGTTTGACTATCATCTAAAGTTAATTTCAGACTCTGTGTCTGCGTTTCCCTCCTTTTTCGTGAAGATAATTTTCTGCTGTTTTCCTTGGGTTCTTGACCCTTGTTTTCCTTCAGTCCTGAAAGGTCTATAAGGCAAGATCCCTTGAAGAAGTGTTTGTGCACCCAAAACCTCACCTTTTTGTTATTTTATTTCCTTCAATCTATAGGAGTCAGTACAATAATGGAGAGACCCTGGATAGCTTGTTCACCATCTTTAGACTGTTATGGTTTCCCCGATTGCTCACTTTCTTTACAGTCATGCTGCCGATGGCTGCAGAATCAGTGACCGGTAGAGGGAGTGACAGGATAAATAACCACACTTGAGTATTCCTAGACAGTATGTCAAAAGGGAGCTTTGTATTAGTAAGGAGGCTGACCTGAATTTTTTTCAGTCCCTTGTAGTTCCGGGGTGCACCCATGAGTATTTCAAGTCTGACTGACCCTAAAAATGTGAGGTGTGTTCATGTTATGAAAGCGTCACTGAACTACCAGAACTTTGTGTGAACTTCAAAAGGAAATAAATCCAGCTTCTGGCTTTACTGTACCAAGTGTTAAAGACTGATAATGTTTGGAAGTGTTTGCTGTTTGTCAGTATCTCGATGTCTACGCTTTTCTGCAGGTTCTCTATGCTGCTAGAGATGCCCAGGTCTCAGTGGCTCTGTTCCTCAGTTTGCTGGGATTTGCCAGCCTTCCTGCAACATTTGAAGGTGAAAACTCTGTCACTGCTTGGGAAAAAGTACTGGGTAAATGCCGGGGCTTGGTGGATATCCCATTTAGAGGAAGAAAGAATGGCAGCACAGGAGAGGAGAAGAGTGGAGAGGGACGCTCCCCTCAGAAAACAAGGAATCGGAAATCTTCGGTGAGTGGCCCACCCTCTGGCAGTCACCAAGTGAGAGATCCGCGGAGGCAGAAGCGAAAGCCTCTAGGTGTGGGATATTCTGCACGGTAAGTCAGACATTTTGTTCTTTGCACTGCAGATGGAAAACTTTGAATGATGCCTCATGCTCTATTCATTAAAGAGACTGGGTAGTATGAGCTAGGAAAGGAGACATGGGACCAGATGGTCATGGGAGCCAGTTAAAACTGAGCATTCTGTTTTCCTCATTTCCCTCTAGGTGGTGTTGAAAGCGAGGGCAGCATTTGGATCTGCACTAGGTCATGAGCAGGTTGAGGGGGTTGTCTGCAGCTTTTATCCTTTTCCTGTGGAGGCATTAGCTGCAGAGCAGAGTCCCAGCAGGAGGCAGCTGGCTGTCCAGGTGGCATTTACTGCCCAAACAGCTGTGCCCTGTCTCCTCCAGGGAAAAGGTGTCAACTGCGTAGAGCTTGTCCTTTCAGCAGGGTCTGCCTCGTGGACTGCTGCCCCAAGACACTGTGGCCGCAGAGATGTCAGGGTACTGAGTAGAGCCAAAACTAAGGTTAGGAGAGGTGAAAGAGGGCACAGGCAGGAGCAATCTGGCAGCACTGCACTTGTGTGTTGGCCAGGAGAGAGGAGGGAATGCTACTACTTCGGCCTTGCAGAGGCAGCTGTTGCTGGATTCAGGATCCCCGTCCCGCAGGCGGTTTTGTGGAGCAAATGCTAAATTCTTACAGCCTTTTGCTAGTGAGAGTTCAGTTAAAACAAGTTGGAGAAGTCTCTAAGCTCATGCAGTGGAAGATGTGGAGAGCTAGTGTGTTTGATTTTGTTTGGGTACAATCTAATAACATTTATCACTAGATGTAGGAACTAAAATTGTCTGTAATTACGATTTGGAAAGAAAACCAGTCATTTTGGTATTTGCTTTCTCCTTTTCAAGCTTATTGGATTGGCAATGGAGACATTTTAATGTAGTCAATAACACTGATTTCATTAGCAGTCATTAACAGGATTGTCTTGTACACAGTGAATCCCTCCAGATTTATTTATTTTTTTTAGTTGGAGCCTGTGTCATACGAAACAGGAGGACTGCACCTGATGGGAGGATTACAATTTAAACAACATTGTATTCCAAGCTAAACAGATCTCCCAGTGTTTGTTTATTTATTTATTGTTTTTAACTGAGCATGACTTCCTCAGAGATGAAGACTCACTGGTTTTTACTGTACCTCCAGCAGTGTGGCTCTGGTCTATAATAAGACTGGATGCGATTTCAGAAGTCCTTTTTCACTCTTCCTTTCTATAAGCCTGTTTAGACTTAATATTTATTCATTTAGGTTTGGGAAGTACTCAAATGAGCTGAAGATGCTCAGTGGAAGGAGACCTCCTGTATCATTATTGTTTTGTTGTTTTTTCCCCCAGCCCCCCATGGACCTCAGAAGAAATCCTTTTGTCAGATTACATAGCCTGTGAATCCACCTTTTTGGCTGGTAGAGCTCTGTTGAATACTTATTTACAGAATCTCGCTGGAGAGAAGAAAGAAAACTTTTCCACGGTGTATTGTGACATGTCTGTATCCCTGACCTGTTCCTCCCAGGTGCTCCCCGAGCCCATTCCTCCCAGGTGCTCCCCCAGCCCAGCCTGCTCCCCTCTTCAGGTTTGTTAGAAGGAGGTTGGGAGAGTAAGGAAACATTTTCTGCAAAAGAGCGCCCTGCCGCACACTGCCACAAGCCACCAGAGGTGCCTCAAGCAGGACTTTTCGCCACTGACTGAGGTTAGGTGCCTGTGTTTCAGAGGGCCTCAGCTCAGCTTCGTTGTTCCCGTGGACTCACGTGTTTGGGTTCCCAGTGCTACATGAGTCTTTTTGGAGCATTTCTCTTGGATGAATGAAGTAATTGCTGTTCACACTAAGTTTTAGAAAAGTCGTCATAATAAAACATTAAGATATGGGCTTAGGCAGGTGATTCTTGAAACTGCCTTGCCTGTAAGTTGACGCTCCCTTTTAGCTTACTCTTAGCTCCTTGTCCTTCTTGACTTCAATTCTCTTTTGTTTTCTAGTATAATTTGGGTTTGAAAATGCTGCCATCATTGATGGCATCTCTTGAAAACTGGGATTCAGACTTACAATTCTATTGGCAGCGGGAGACCGAAGATACCTCACAGTCAGTTGGTGAACCCCGGGGTCAGTTTTAAAATGTTCTGCTTCCCTTAGCACAGCCAGCCTTAAGTGTGTGGAACGCATGGCTATAGGGAGCTCTGGTTTTTTTGGCATGCTATTATAGTTGCTGTAATGCTGCCCTTGTTTCATAGAAAATCTCCTCTATATGACAACTGCTTCCTACATGCACCAGATGGACAGCCCCTGTGCACTTGTGATCGCAAGAAGGCTCAGTGGTATCTGGACAAGGGGATCGGAGGTGAGCATACCAATTTTCCTGTCAGTATTTGAAATGCAACTTCCTTTTTTTTTTTTTTACCTTTTCTCTTAGAAAACTGGGCATGAATTTTTTGTACCCTTTCTTGTTGTAAATACTGTTGGGGATTCACTAGGATGACTCCTGTGTTTCAGCGTTGTTATTTTAGCTTTCAAATACAAATTTGTCTTGAATATTCTCTGTTTGCCCTTACTCTTTCAGAGCTAGTTAGCACAGACCCATTTGTTGTGAAGCTGCGGTTTGAGCCTTCAGGGCGTCCTGAGTCTCAAGTTGATTATTATCTGACAGTCAAAGAGAACCTGTGTGTTGTATGTGGCAAGCGAGAATCCTATATCCGGTGAGTTGTTTAGTGGGGTGGGAGAAAAATGCATCTATTAAAATAGGACCGAGGTCTGCGTCTAGTTTGGCATCCAGAAGCTCGGTTAGTGGCCTGAAACATCGCGCTGTTCACATCCTGGATCACTATTTGAGTGCTCTGTAGTCCTATATGTCTGGCTAAGTTTGACACTGAGCAGGCCAGCCTTTCCTCTTCTTACAAAGGCAGGAGGTATCAGGTATCGGTCCTTGGAGAGAAGAAAGTGTGTGGAACATGTATGTGCTGTAGTTTGAATGACAGGGCGCAGCAGTATGCCAACATACACTGTTCTGATGGCATCTCCTTCTGAAAATAGCTGTACTGTTCCTTCCACTACGTAATCCTTGTATTTTTGAAAGGTTGAGGTGAGCCTGAAGCCCATGAAGTCACAAGGGTGAGATTTTTGTCTTTGCAGCTGCTACTGTTTAGCTGAGAGGTGTGAGGCTTCTCACAGTGCATTGCTTTATCCTTTTTTTTTTTTTTTAATTCAAAGTGATGAATTTTTGGAAGGGGAAAAAAAAAAAAGGAGAAACACAGAAAACCTATGGAGAGAAGTACAAATAAAAAGAAGTTGCAGAGCTTAGTGCTGCACTGAGGGTCTTGACCCTGGTGATATTTGTTTTCCTGGGCTTTCAGTGTTAGTTGACCCTTTGTGGGCCTGGAAGAGGAGGAACTGGGAAGTAGCAAGCTCCAGGCAAATGTAATGAGCCGGCTGGTTTGTCTTCCCTAGGAAGAACATTGTTCCTCATGAATACCGAAGACACTTCCCCATCCAGATGAAGGACCACAACTCCCACGACGTTCTCCTACTCTGCACATCCTGCCATGCCATCTCCAACTACTATGACAACCACCTCAAGCAGCAGCTGGCTGAGGAGTTCGGTGCCCCCATCGGCTCTGAGGAAGGCGTTCGCCTGCTGGAGGACCCTCTGCGCAGGCAAGTGCGCTCGGGGGCCCGAGCCCTGCTGAATGCAGACAGCCTGCCTGACCCACGGAGGGCAGAGCTTCTGCAAAGCATCAAGGACTTCTTTAACACAGAGGCAGTTACCCCAGAGATGCTCCAGGAAGCAGCTGGTCTGGAAACCAGGTATAACAAGCCAGTCAGTAGATGTAACGTTAGTCATTTATGTGGGCACATAAGTTCAACAAAAAGTTATCTACAGGCAGAGCCTTGGGTAAATATTACTGCAGCAAAATAAAAGAAAATCCAGCAGAGCCAAAGATCCTACATGTGGACTTCACCCTGCTGCAGCAAAGCTTTTTAAGGAAAATAAGACAAAACGCATTGCTGCTCTCCTTGGGATATTGATGCATCTTCCCTAAAATAATGGTGTCAAGTTAAGGACTGTCCGAATTTGAGACTAGTGGGAGTTGATCTGCACAGGAAAAATGAGCCCCTAAAAGCATACCTTTATTACTTCTGTAAGCCTGCAGAGTCTGGATTTATGGTACTTTGATGATACATTTAACTGGAAAGCAAGGATAGGAAGAAGATAATTGTTTGTGCTGTAGCCTCAGGCACTAAGCAGACAAGCACGCTTTGCATTTCTTACTGTATTTTGGGTTTTTTTTTCCCCCCTTCTCCTCTCAACCCAGCCGTGGTCTGTGAACTGCAGCTGTTGTTTCTTCAT